AGCAGCCAGCCTATGCTGAATCGCAGGACCTGAGCCTCTTAGGGGACGAGGGTGGGGGGCAGGAGGTCTTCTATAGGACGTCTAATGTTCTCTACAACTGAGGTCGTACACCCAATTACAGAAAGCCATCCACCAAGAAGACAACGCAGCCTGGTCAGCGTGGGTAGCTCTGCTGGACCACGTCCCCTGCACTGACCACCAGATGCATCCCACCGACGGCACTGTCGGCCCCCCCACACCGCGAGAGCGCAGTGCCCGGCACGAAGCTGGGCTCCCGTAGACCACAGTTGTGTTGACCCTGACTTATCAGGCCTCCCTGGTTCATGTTCCAGCAGTGGCTTGATGTCTCATGGGATCGAAGACAGCTAGAAGGCCTTCTGCTGCCCGCACCTCCCACGGTCGCTTCCAGTGCCAGGGAGCCCCCCCCTCCCCAGAGCGGCTCTTCCCTCCTCCCAGCAGCTGTGAGGGGCTCAGATTCTGGAGTCGGGCTCCCTGGGTTTGCGGCTGGGCTCCCCACTCACCGTCCCCGTGGGGACAGGGCAGATCTCCTAATCTCTCCGAGCCTCAGCCGCCCCTGCTGGGCAGGGACGAGCACCTGCCCGCTGGGCTTCGAGGATTCGGAGTGACAACTGGTGTCGTGCTGGGAACGATGCCCAGCGCACAGTAGGTGCTCATCCAGCACGAGCCAGGCTTCACCCCTGAAAGCCTTCCCTCCCTGCAACACTGGCCTATCGCTCGTGCTCCTGCTCCCACGTCAGGCACAGCCCGGCCCGGGGTGGGCACAAAGGTCAGTGCTCGGTGCCCCCACCCCTTCCCTTGGGGCCGGAGATGAAAAGAGCAATGAGTCACCGAGGACACCGCAGCTGCAATTGGAGTCCGAGCAGCCAGTGCCACCAGCATGTGACAGGCTCCGTCTCGCCCGCCCGGGGGGACACGCAGCAGGAGTGTCTGCACCTATCCGCACATGTCCGAGAGCATCCACCGGACATGCACAGAGTCGCCTAAGTGCGCCACCACTTCCGCTGTCTGCGGGCACAAAGCTGGGGCCTGCCGCTAGGGGACCCGTGCAGACTGGCACAGAGCTGTGCGGCCGATGGGGCAGCCACAGCCTTGAGGGGGGCGTGCTGCGTCCTGGCGTGTGGTCCGGGGGTGCCATCGATGAATGCATTTCTCTCCCGACGTCAGCGGGCATCTTTGGTATCAGGCTGTGAATGGATTTGTGCTGGGAGCAGGGGAGAATGCGCGCCCAGGCTCAGAGTGTTCGAGCTGCTGATGGAAGTAGGAGACTCTGCCCCCAGCTGGGCCTCTGGGTCTCTTTGGGCTCAGATGCTGGCATTTCCAGGTCCTCCGGCGGGCAGGGCCGAATCGGGGCTCCCAGTTCAGCCTACTGGCAGGGGCTTGGGTCACAGAGCCTCGGGTGCTAAGCCTCACCCAGACACGAGTAAGCTCGGAGAGTCTGCCCAACCACAGAGGACCATTTTTGGCCCCCGCTAGTCAAGCCTCCTCCCCCCACCCCTCCCCACCCACTGCGGCGGCTGCTTACTCCTTAGAGCCAGTCTTGGGCCAGGCCCAGAGCAGTCTCCTCATTCCAGGGGAGCCAGCTTGGGAGGGAGGGAGAGAATACGGAGGGCCAGGCGGTTTAGGCTGGCCACTGAGAGGGCCCCTACGGAGATAGCCTCTACTGAGACCGCCCAGAGGGGTCCAGGCACTCAAGTGCCCTGAGCACTTTGAAAGAGAAAATGGGGAGCGTCTGGGTGGCTCAGTCGTGAAGCGTCTGCCTTCCGCTCAGGTCATGATCCCAGGGTCCTGGGATCAAGCCCCGCATCGGGCTCCCTGCTCGGCGGGAAGCCTGCTTCTCCCTCTCCCACTCCCCCTGCTTGTGTTCCCTCTCTCGCTGTGTCTCTCTCTGTCAAATAAATAAATAAAATCTTAAAATAAAAAAAAAAAAGGAGGGCGCCTGGGTGGCTCAGTCGTTAAGCGTCTGCCTTCGGCTCAGGTCATGATCCCAGGGTCCTGGGATCGAGTCCCATACCGGGCTCCCTGCTCGGCGGGAAGCCTGCTTCTCCCTCTCCCACTCCCCCTGCTTGTGTTCCCTCTCTTGCTGCGTCTCTCTCCGTCAAATAAATAAATAAAATCTTAAAAAAAAAAAAAAAGAAAGAAAGAAAGAGAAAACGGCCCAGGACTCCTGGCATGCCACACGCCTGCTGCATGGGCCCACACACCTGGGTTCTCTACCCAGCTTAGCACCCCCCTGCTGGGTCTCTCTGCCCCCATCTTCTGACCTCCTTGGCCTCAGGGGGCCCATTGCTACATAGGAGAGTGAGGACAGGTTCCTCCAGACCCTGCACACACGCAGGCAAAGGGAGTTGGAGGGTCCAGGGCCAAGGGATCCAGGCAGCCCATTCTAGTATGCCCAGGGGCCACGGACTTTGTACTCCAGCCCAGCCTGGAATCCGGATTCCCACTGTGACCTTCACCTCTGGGGCTGAGGGACAGGCCCAAACAGAAGTGCAACATGGGCACAGCGGTTCTCTGCCCTCTCCAGTGCTCAGATCCTTCAGTGACCAAATCAGCTTCCTTTTCTCCCCCACCCCATCCCTAAATTCTGCTCAGGAAGAGGTGTATGAGTGACTGATAAATCCCCAAGGATCTCGTATCTCCAAGCTGTTTGGTACCAGTGTAGGTATTTGAAGACCGGGATTCTGGTTCCCTGCTCTACCAGTGATGGGCTCTGTGTACTTGGGTACATCTCAGCTCCATAAGCCTTAGGTTTCTTACCTACAAAATGGGGTTTTTAGTATCTACTTCATAGGAATCTATTTGCATTTTAACAGAATACAAGATCTAAGTCAAAGGAATGACTTTCTAACGGAGAAACTTCAAGTCTCAGCCAATAATAAAGAATTCTGAGGGTGGAGCCAGGCCACTTTCTTGGGGCTTTGATTTCACATTGTCGGGTTAGTTGTTTCTTCCTGAGAGGATGGCTGCCTGCCAAAAGCCCTATTTCTACCTTGGGGGCTCCTCCTGCCTTCAGACTATGCTGTCTGGGGATGGACAAGGTGTTTGGGAGGAAGAGAGATTTATCAGGCCCCCTCCACACACCAGTTCCTTTGGACTTATCTCATTTACTTTGCATCATAACTCTTGGCGTATCGGCGTTCTATCCCCTTTTTCAAGGGAGGAAAATTGAGGCTCTGAGATGTTAGGTCTCTGGCCCTGGGTCATATGAGTCAGTGTCAAAGGCATCGTTTAAACCTAGGATCTCTTGACTCCAAAGTCTTAGCCTCCCCGATCCTGCTAGCCAGGCTATGGCTCCCAGTGTGGGCCCAGGGACACCTCACCCCAAGAAAGGCCCGAGGCCTCTCCTGGACGGCCCCCGCAGAGCTCCTCCTCACCCTCTCCCTACCAGACTGGCCGCTGCCGCCTTGCTTCCTTCCAGCTCCCCGCCCAGCCAGGGAGCCATGAGGGCTGCCATTTCAAAGCTAAGGAAACCAAGACCCAATGTGAGAGGTGCTCAGTGCTGGAAATCAATCCCAGCCAGAGGCCTCAGCCTTGAGCTGCAGCTCCTGCCCCAGGGAATGTTATCAGTGGGTCCAGAGGGCAGGGGGAGGAGGAGGGGAGGAACTGGCGGGACAAAGGCCTTGGGCTCCGAGCAGCTTTTGCTATTCTCCCACCAACCCCTACCCTGGGCTCAGCTCGGGGAGGTTCCTGGGTGAGCAGCAGCCGGGACCGAAGTACAGAGGTGCAGATGCTGGGGAGGGGACTGTGTAATCCCCACTGCTTCGCCCTCCCCACACAAGCCTCTGCCTGTAGGTCTTCTGTGACCTCACTCTATACACCACACCCCAACACTGAGTTGTTCCCGAGCCCGAGCCTGAAGGAGCCCATCACCTTCTCAGTCCAGCCCCACCCCTTCCAGGGGGTTTGCAGGACGAGGAGGGTGGGGGTGGGGAGGGATCTGCAAGCCAGGTGTGAAGGGCTGAGGTGGGCCCAGAGGGCTTGTGCCCTAATCCCTTTCCCCTATCACCAGCCTCTCCCTGGGGAGCCAGGCTGCTTGGAGGAAATGGGGTCTCCCCAGTGCCTGAGCCCCTCTGGGCCGCAGGGTAGCAGGAGAGCAGGGTGGGCATGGGGGAACCCAGAGATTTCCCAACTCTCCCAGCAGGCCTGGCTGCATCTGGGCAGCCTGCCTCGGGCCCTGGTCTAGACTGATCAGCAGGTGACCTTTGCCCGGCTCACTGAGCCCTCCGTGCCCCCTGCCCTGGGGACAATATAAAACAGGTCAGAGCCCTCTTGTCTGCCTGCTCAGTTCATCCCAAGGCTTCTGCTCCAGGTAATGCCCCGCAGGGAGGAGGGTGAGGGCTAGAGGAGAGCAGCATGGAGAGGGGCAGAGGAGGGTCCCTGCCCAGACCAGCCAGCACAGTCCGGAGAAGAGCCAGCTGGGGCCAAGGAAGCCGCAGGGCTGGGGGAGCAGCCCCCACCTCCAATCGCATGCTGGGGGGAAACCGAGGCTCGCGGAAGGCAGGACACCTGCCCAAAGCTACACAGAGTGTAGTGGCACAGCTGGGACTGGAACTGGCTCCCAGTGGGCACACTTTGCCCTCATTCTGCATGTTTAGGACCGCAAGGAGCCTTAGAGCCCCGTCCTCCCCCAGACAGGAAAACTGGGCCTGGACAGGGGCAAAGATCTACCCCAAGTCACCTAGCATGCTCGTGGCAGGAACCAGGCCAGAACCCAGGTGTCCTGATTCCTGGTCTAGTGGGTTTTCTGCTCTCTCCCTTGTGGCCCGCGCTCTCCCTCAGTCTGGCTCTGGAGGCCCCGGAGGCTGAAAGCCCTTCATCTCCCGCATTAGCTGACAGCGGGCCCTTTCTCCCCCTGGCTTGACCCAGCTCAGGACCTAGTGTTGGGGCCACACTACTTTCCCGGGCGGGGGGGGGGGTCTAGCGGTGGGGGGGGCTAAGGTACCCCTCACAAGACGCTTCCTTGCAGGAACAGAGGCGCCATGCAGCCCCGGGTCCTCCTCGTCGCTGCCCTCCTGGTGCTCCTGGCCTCTGCCCGTAAGCAGCTCGTGGGGACTGGGCTAGGGCTCGGGTGGGGGTGGCCCTCTGCCTGGAGGACCCTTGGGGATGGCTTGAGGATCCCGGGCCCTGGTGGGTGGCTAGGCAGAAGCCAAGGGTTCCCTAGAGGCGACCCATCCCACTCAGCCCTGCTCTGCTGGCAGGAGCTCTGGAGGCAGAGGACCCCTCCCTACTGGACCTTATGCAGGGATACATGCAGCACGCCACCAAGACCGCCCAGGACACGCTGACCAGCGTGCAGGAGTCCCAGGTGGCTCAGCGGGCCAGGTATGCCCCCACATCTCCGTGCTCGGTGTCAGCTCCTGCCCCTGACTCAGGAGGGCCCTGGCAGTGGACTGCGGCTCTCCCAGGACCTGCGCCTCTCCGAGCCTCCGTGCTCTGCTCTATGAGCCGGTCCCACACAGGGCTTTCTCGGGCTGCCAGGGGAGAGATGGCGGAGGCGGGCCTGCATTCTTCCTTCCTCCTCCTGGCCTCCCCTCCCTCTGAGGGCCCTCCTTGCTCCTTTAGGCACCCTGCAAGGCTCTGAGGAAGGCCAGGTTAGCTCTTGCTGCCATTCTCTTTATTGGTGGAGGTTGGCATGGAGGCTCCACCCAACCCAATTTCGGCTGGTGTGTGTGTGTGTGAGTGTGTTTCTGCCTTGTGCCAAGCCCTGGGGCCGGTGTCCAGCAGAATCCATCCTTCCTCTCCCACCCTGCCCTGCCTTCTAGTCCTCTCTTCTCCCAGCATCCTTTCCCACTTCCACGCCCCCGCCCCCGGGCGTCAGCCAGCAGTTCCGTAGCTGAGGCATTCAGACTCTCATAGTCCTCAGAACTCGCTGTGGAGTGGGTATTATATTTGCCATTTTACAGATGAGAAAATCGAGGCTCAGAGACGTTAAATGACTCGCCCCAGATCACACAGCTTATTTATGCTCTGATGATTGTCCAAATGAGAGACTGCGTCCCTCTGCCCCACCCCACTCAGAGCCACCAGGTTGTGCAACTCTATGGGCATCATTTGCCTGGAACAGACTGACAGTCGGGGCCTTCCGCGTCTCCCACTCAGTCACTCCTGTCCAGCTTGCCTCAGACCCAGGGCGGCACCAAGTTCTGCCCCAACCCGGAGAAATAGGCTGGACCTGTGTTAGGGTCCCATCACCCCCTTCAGCATCTCTTCTGCCTGGGCTGGCAGCTGAAAGGGTTCCTGCCGGAGGTCTCAGGGGCGTTGCTGGGTGAGGTTGAGAGGGTCGGGGGAGAGGCAGATGAGCTCTCACCCCCACCTCCGTTGCTTCCCTTACTGATTTGACCCCCAGGGACTGGATGACCGATGGCTTCAGTTCCCTGAAAGACTACTGGAGCACGTTTAAGGGCAAGTTCTCTGGGTTCTGGGATTCAGCTTCTGAGGCCCAAACAACTCCAGCCTCTGATGCCTCCTGAGACCTCGACAGCCCAACTCTTCCTGCCCATCCACCCTGCCAGCTCCTTGGGCAGCCCCGAAAGTCACTTGAAAGTGACAGCATTCCCACCTCCCACCCCACCCCAGACCTGGCCCACCCCCAAGCTTGTTGTCCTCCCAATAAAGCTGGATGAGAAGCTGCCGTGAGTGGGATGTCCCATGTCTGCCATGTATGTTTTGGCGTGGAAATGGGCCAAGGTACTTCTGTGGGTGGGCACGGGGCTGACTCCAACTCAGGCAGGCTGCCTGAGCTGACTTGTGGGACCCAGGCCGCTGGCCCTCTCAACCAGACTTGAGTGGGGAGTGGTTGGAGTAAGATACAACTAGACTCTGGTCTTGGCCACATCATTTTGTATCAGCCTCAGTTTCTTATCTGTAAAGTGGATGCAACATTACCACCCCCACTGCAGATTTGTTGAATGAATGAATGAAATAAGACTGTGTACAACACCTGGTCATCTTTGTGGCTATAGGCTGAGCTGAATTACCCCTGGGACCAGAATCGGAGTGGGGGAGGGGGGATTCCAGGGATCCGGAAGCTAAGAAGAACCCCAAAGTTACCCAACAGCGGCTGTTTGCCTTGTGTCCCCACCAGCCAACAGATGTTCACGTCAGGGAGTCCCAGAACCACAGACTACTTGAGCAGGCCCTCGCTCTTCCAGTGATAAAACTGAAAGATGAAGGCCTTTGCCCAATGTCAAGGAGTCTGCAAACGACAGAGCAGGGCCCCAAGCCCGGGTTAGCTGCTCCTATTCTGCTCGGCTGACACAGAAAAAACTCAGTTACTCGGACGCTGGGAGCCAGAGGGCTCCTTGACAGATCTGGGGGGCATCAGCACGTCTAGTCCCACTTGGAGACATCTGCTCTCTCTTTGGAAATCCACCTGGGCTTCTCTTCTGGCCCAACTGGGCCAGGGATCCCAGTATCCACACCAGGACAGTGTTCTCACCCAAATCTCGCCTTGACACCCATTGCAGCTCCGGATGGTTAGGAACGACAAACTTTATCCAAGAGTTTTAAGACACACTGGTGTTTGGGGGAGGGGCAGGGCGCCAAAGGCCCTGTTGGGGGAACATGCTCCATCAGTTCACTGCCCAGGTCTCTGATCTGCGAAGCCATGTGCATGCACACGGGGGTGCGTGTACCTGAGTGTGGAGAGGGGCCGGCTGTGGACCGGGGTGTATGCTTGAGAATGGGCATGTCTGTGTGCACAGCCGTGTGAACTTGAGTGCCTGGCCACACGCTTTTTAAAAAAAAGACCCAGGATGGGTCTGGAAGGGGCAACTCAGCCCATCCTGCTCTTCAGCCTTGCTTGGCGAGTGACTTCAAGCTTCAGCTTTCTCCTCTGAGCCGCGGATGTGGTGGCTGTCTGGCCAGGATTTGGGGAAGGATGCAGTGGGATGATGGATATGAATGCATCTTGGAAATAAAAATGGGCTGGTTACCTGTAAGAGGTGGGGATTATTGTTCCGACTCAGGCTTAGAGCCCCGGGGGTGGGATGGCTGGCTGACAGCTGTGAAGGAGGACACATCGGCCTTTTCTGGAGAGGGCAGGACTGTGAGGAGTGGCATGCTGCCCTTGTAAAAAAAGAAAAGCGAAGCATCTGTTTCTTCATTTTTTGGATTACTAAAGGGGGAAGGAGCAAAGGCCAAGCTCTTCAGGTGAGCCTGCCCCCATCCTTCCAGCCCCAGGGGCTCCTTGAGGCCCATCCCAGCGGGCCCCAAGCCAGAGGGCTGCCAGAGACTCCTGGCCTGGCCTGCGGGGGCGGGGGGGGGGGGGGGGTAGGACATATGGGGGGAAGAGAGCCCTGTTTCCTGACCGTCCTCAGACAGGGCTGCTGTTCTTATTTGAGCCTCTTGCAGGGCACTTAGCATGCATTGTCTGTCCCCTCGCCCGATCCTCTCTTACTCCTTTCTGTTTGGGCCTCCTTGGGAAGGGGGCTCCACACACTACCTCCCTCCTAGCAGCCGGGCCTCGCAAGCCCCCGACCCTGAATGAAGGCCCTCAGGGCCCCAGGTTCCGACTGATGGGCTCCCGCTGCAAAATCGGCAGGGAAGTCCCTGTCCCCCCGCCAAAGGCCCTGGTGCCCGCCCCCGGGGCTGCCCCAGGGACGTCCCTCCTCCGCCCGCACCCACTCCCATCCTCCCAAAGAAGGATTTACAGTTTTCGGAGCCCATTTTATTGTTTAAAAGTCATAACCGAAGCTTCAAGACACACGCAGCCCGACACAGACATCCCGCTTTGGAAACGTTTATTCGAAGAACCCGATGCACGGAAAGGGGAGCCCCGGGAGGGGTCCCTCGGGTCCGGGGCGCGTCACTGGGAGTTCAGCTTCTTGGTGGCCTCATCGACGGCGGCCAGGAGGCTGACCCTGAAGTTCTCCAGCACGGGCAGCAGGCCCTGGCGGAGGTCCTCGAGCGCGGGCTTGGCCTTCTCTCTGAGCGCGCTCAGGTGCTCGCTGGCCTTGGCGTGGTACTCGGTCAGGGCTGCGCCGCCGCCCTCCTTGAGCGCCTGCAGCCGGGCGGCCAGGCGCTCGCGCAGCTGCTCGCTGTAGGGGGCCAGCTGCGCGCGCAGCGCGTCCACGTGGGCGCGCGCGCGGTCCCGCAGCTCCTCGGCCAGCGGGCTCAGCTTCTCCTGCAGCTCCTGCAGCTTCTGGCGCGCGCCCTCGCGCAGCTCCGCGCCCAGCGGCGCCACCTTCTGGCGGTACAGCTCCACCTCCTCGTGCCACTTACTCTGGAACTCGTCCAGGTAGGGCTGCACCTTCTTCTTCACCTCCTCCAGATCCTTGCTCATCTCCTGCCGCAGCACCTCTGTCTCCTTTTCCAGGTTATCCCAGAACTCTTGGGTGACCGGGCCGATCTGTTCGCGCAGCTTGGCCACCGTGCTGCTCAAGCTGTCCCAGTTGTCCAGGAGTTTCAGGCTGAAGGGGCGAGGAGGGGAGAGCGAGGGGCTCAGGGGTGGCCTCCCCGGCACCCCGGGCAGCCCCGGAGCTGCGGGCCTGGCGCCCCGGCCCGTCCGCGGTGAGGCCCGAGCAGCACCTGTCCCTGCCGGGCATCAACCCGAGGGGCCGGCGCCCGGCCTCGCTCTCCCCACACCTCTCCTCCCGCAGGACAGCCTCCCGCTGGGTCCCACGGTTCGGGTGGACTGAGGAGCTAGGAGAGACAGAGCTGGGTTGGGTGCCCTGTCTTGTCTGTCCCCAAAGCTGGGCCTCAGGGACCTCGTCACTGTACTTGGAGTCCATCCTCCTCTCTGGAGACGGCCATCCCTGTTGCTGGCCAGGAGAGGAGGAGGGAGCTAAGAATCGGAAGGGGCTTGTCGCACTCGCAAGCAGATGGTGGTGCTGTGATTGCTGACCCGGCAGCCCCTCGCTAGGGTGCTACAGATCTTATTCTCCCTAAAATGGGTTGTGAGATGCTGGTTATTTGGGGGATCTCTTTCCTGCTTGGGGATCCCATTCGGGATTTTTCCAGGCCTTCTACGGGGCCCAGGAAATAGCAGGTGGGGATCTGGCCAGTCTGGCTACATCTTCCCACAGGCCTCTCTGCCCAGCAGGACCGGCCACCCCTGCCCCTGTCCCCAGCCCCCCGGTGCCCCAGCCCCAGGTTGGGTCCATACTTCAGCTGTTTCCCCAAGGCAGAGGCTTCAAACTGGGCCACATAGTCTCTGCCGCCGTCTTTGACTACGTCCACATACACGGTGGCTAAATCCTTCACTCGATCCCAAGGTGACTGGGGTTCATCTTGCTGCCAGAAATGCCGAGCCTGGCTCCCTGGAGGTGAGAGGAGAGACCCAGATCAGGCCAGCTCCGGACTGGGCTCAGAGCTGAAATGCCAGGCTTGGAGGCAGGAGCAAGGGGATGCGTGAGAAATCCTGTTCCCTGGGCTCAGGAGGGTGGCCCACGGGGGCTTAGGGAGAAGGCCCCCCTCCCCCCCGCCAATGGTTGGCTTCCTAGGTTGGGGGGCACCTACCCGTGAGGAAGAGCACGGCCAAGGTCAGCACCACCGCTTTCATCCTGAAGGGACCTGGGTGACCTGGAGGAGAAGAGGGTCCCGGCTGAGTGGGCCAGGCCTCTAGTGTGAGGAGCCCAATGCCCCCCCACTCATTTTAGTCAGGAGTGGAGGAGGCAGGGCACAGAGTGGGAAGGGGTCTCGGTACCCAGAGCCCCAGCATGGGGCAGAGACTAGAGCCTGGACCCCAGAGCCTGAGCCTCCGATGCCCAGAGCCGGGGAGCAGACAACTGCACTTACCTCGAGGACTCCAGCAGTCTCTGAGCTGCCCACTCTCCCAGCCTATTTATGTCTCCAGGCAGGGGCTGGGCTGGGAGGCTGATAAGCCCAGCCCAGGCCTTGCTGCAGCTCCCTGGTCCTGGCCATGTGGAACTTAGAGTTCAAGGATCAGCTCTGTCCCCAGGGCCGGACAAATAGAATGGGCAAACAGGAAGCTGTGGGGGCTGCAGGGACAGGGATCAAGGGTTCAGGCGGGGGCCAGAGGGGGTGGGTGCAGGCTTGCAGGCCCTCAGGGTCGGGGTCATCTGCACCCATGGCTTCTCCTAGGGGGGATGTGTGCCCGCCATTGTCTGCCATGCGAGTGCAGCCGGAAGCAAGAGACACCGGCTGGCCAGGGATGGCTGGGACTCCTCCCCTCGGGAGATGTCCTCCCCCACCGTCCCCTTGCATTCCAGGTAGATCACTTTGCCCCCACCCTGGCCTTCCCCTCCAAAGGCAGCCGACGGTCTTCCACCCAACACCTTTTGTCCCAACAGGTCAGCAGACCTTTCTCCAGGCTCTCCCAGACCTCCCGAAGGGGACGGTGGGGCCAGGGAGTGGCCTGGGCAGAGTGGAGAGGGCTTCGTGGCTCCCAGACTGAGACTTCCGGGACCTCTGACATTTCAAAACAAATTCTAAAAACCAACACGGAGTTGCCAGCTTTTGATTTTGTCATGTAAAAACGTTACCCACGGTGCTCGCTTCGGCAGCACAT